TTCTTCCTGGCTAGGGCAGGCCAGTCTGTTTTTCTATTCAGATCAGCAAATGGAGGGATGAGGACCACTAATGCTGTGGAAGAAAGTTTATTTTAAAATTAGGATTTATATTTCTCCTTAGCAATCCTTTCTAAAACCTTAATTTTGACTCTTCAATTTATAAGATTTGAAATGGGATGGATCTTGGACAAACAGGGTAGTCTTTTTCCTCTAATAACTTTATTGAAGTATAAATGAACACAGCAAAGTGTATAAGATGATGCATCACAACACGCGTGCACACACACACACACACACACACACACACAAAGGCATCAGCAAAATGAAGAGAATGAAAAAGTATCTCTTGTGGTTCTTATAATTCTTTTCCTCCCCACTATACTTTATACCACACAACTTCTGACCTATTTTCTGTCACTATGTCTCTAAGGTGCAGTGTGTGCACCTTCAACAACTCCACTTTCTTTTGAGTCTGAGTGGTACCTGTAAATACGTATCCTTTCCATAATTACATCATATTACATGGCAAATAGAATTTGACAGCTATAATTCAAGTTAGGAACAGGAAGGCAGCTCAGTTCAGTACCTTCTCCTGGAGTCTAGGTGAGAAAAAGTGCTGTTCCAGGCAGTGAGTTGGGCACTTTTAAATGTGACTGGGTCCTTTAAGGTGCTGGGGGGGGGGGGGGGAGACAAAAAAGTGGTAGGAAACTCTCCTTCCTTCATCTCCCATTTGCTCAATAGACTTTACCTATGCACAGACACACCAGACACATACCACACACACCCTACACACTCACACCCCCCCCACCCCACACTGCGCACACACATACACCCACACACTTATTTCTCTTTGTATATAATTCTGGAGATACTGTTGTTAGATAGTGATATGGTATTTCTGATGTTATGTGTTTTACACTCCTCAATAGTAGAACTTAAAAACACAGGCACATTCCTAAGCTAGTATACAGAAAGACAGAAGTTGCCTAATGTGGAACTCACAAACTAGAGAAATGGTTCAGGGATTACCATGTGCATCCAGGGCTCTAGGAAGGATGAGTTCAGGCACATCCTTTTTCTTTTCGAGAAGTATAGACTGTTTTTCTATTTTGTACTTCGTAATTTACACAAACAATGGAGCAGGGGCAGAGTCTGCTATGTGGTATGCATGCTTGCACTTGTGTATAGATACCTTACAATGTTTCACCTTTTTGAACAGCTATTTAAAAAATTTCACTTGAATACTAAATTAATAGATTAAAAACCTTTATATCACTGTTTAGATTAGGTCATAAAGGTTTCCTGGAGTTACTGTTTATAGATTTTTTTTAAAGATCCCTTAGGCAATGGCAAGACTGTTGCATGCGTGAGGACAGCCGCTTGAATTATAGCGCATCGACTTTAATACCTACCTCAGGAATGATAGGGTCCTAAATAGCCAGTCGTATTTACTAGAGAAACCTAGAGTTTTCTTAGATTGCCAACCTTGGCAGGATGAGAAATGCAGGGTGACAGAGCCTAAGTGGCTCTTTTCAGATATATCACACTGATTATCTATATTTAAGATGCAAAACAGTCTTCCAGGAGCTATTTAATTAAGTGAAAGTAAGTCCTTTTGGAACCAAGTGGTTCAGCAAACAAACACACACCAGCACTCCAGGGAGCCGGGCATTATTATGGGCTTCATAGGCACAGTGACACTTTAAACCCCCACTCCAGGGATCCTAAACAGTGATTGGTGGAAACATCATCAAATTGAATTTAAATTTCGGCAGGTACAAAATTGTCATGCAAAAGTCTGGGACAGTGTCCACTCTCAGCCTGGAAAGAGAGATAAGGGAACCTGGATTTTCAAAGTCCCCTTGAAGTCTTTCAAGGTAAGACAGAAACCCCCTTTGTAGGAGCCAATTGCCTCCTGTGGGAAGCGTTTTTTCGGCCTCAGGGATGAGAGCAACTTGGGGTAAATCTTTCTACCTCTTAACCCTTCAAGTCTAGGATATTTATGGAAAGATAGTGGGTTCCGTGGGGAGGAATGATGAACCCATCTGATAAAATAGCGAACCCCTGAAGAGTGGAACTTATATTTGCCCCCAATGTTTGTTGAGATACTCTTGCTTATCAGAAAAACCTAAGATGAAACAAATATTCTCACTGTAGTAATCTTAAAAATCAACAACTGGAATGTTTCATTTATCTTTTGCTATAGCTCTAGCATTGCTATTTTTTGGTTCAGGAAAAATATGTTTGAGAGCTTTAAATGGAGTCAAAGGCCTTTTTTCAGTCTCCTCATTGGAATGTAAGGAGTGATGAAATTTAACCCAAAAGGATCACATACTGTCTTCCTCTTTGGGACAGGGATGATGGTCACATCCAAACACCAACTCTTCCTGAGAGGAAAGCTGGATTTGGAATTTGATTTAACTACTGTTTGCTGCCTCAAGGCCTGCCTAGCTGGTGTGCACAGTTACAGATCTATAGAAAGAAGGGTTGTGCTTTCTCCAGGGCTCAGTATATGTATGGTCAATATCAGTCTTCAGATGTTTGCTGACTGGGCCACGTCAATGAGTCACAGCTTAAATTTAATATCTTGACTGGAAATCCACAGAAGACCTGAGAAAGTAATTACCTGGCATTTGACACGAAGATTCTCAAACCAGACTTTCAAACAATTCTATGCAGAATACCCTCTTATTTCTGTCAAACTGATTTTTATGCTTTAAATTTCATGATGATAGGTTTAGGAAAACAAATACGTGTTGCTACAAGTTGGCAAAGGTCGAGGTGGAAATTTGAAAATGGTGTGGCCACTTTGAATGGTTTTGATAAGAAATTAGATAACTCATGTTTTAAATATCTTTAAAAAGGTTCTTATTAGCTCCTTGAGAAATTTGTGGCATTTGTTTTGACCATATTCACCCCTCCCCAACTCTGCCCAGAGCCTCCTCTCTTCTTTACACACCAACTTGTGCCCTTTCTGTAAGCAAACAAATTAAAAAAAAAAAAAACAAGCAGGACCAGTCTATGCTAGCCAAATATTCTCAGATGTGTACTTTCCATTGGTGCATGGGCCTACACTTTTAGGGAAAAATCACTTTTATTTTCTCTCCCAGCACCCATCAATTGTTCCACGGCTAGGGGTGGGACTTCACGCCCAGCTTCTCTCTGCATGCTGGGATTTGATCAGGCTTGAGATATCTCAGGTCTGCAGCATGTTGTCACACTGCTGTGAAGATAACTCAGGTGTGAAAAGTCTACCTCAGCCATTCCAACAAGGCCCTTGCTCCCCATCGCCCCCCCCCCCATCTTCTTATTGACATAGTTACACTAACTTGCTAGTCACTGCGTCTCATTTAATGTGACAATAAACAACTTAAAAGAAGCTCCTCAATTCTAATGAATTGGCCTTGTCCCTTGGGTCTTTAGCCTGCCTTGCCAGCAGGTGCAAGTATCAGGAACCACAGTGCTCACAGTGCAGGAGTGAAAAGGCGAGAGAGGGGGCAGGTAGCTGTAGATGGCCAGACTTCCATTTAGAAATGAGATGGGTATATTGATGAACTTCATTACAGGTGCCTTTCCTGGACCAGGGGTCCCCAAGTCACCATGGAGATAGATGGCTTCTGCAGAGGCAATAACTGGGTTTGGACTTGCCACCCCCCCCCCCACCTCTCCAGCTCCATCTCAAAGCACCTTAGTCTCATTTCAGTCTGTAGAATAACTGAATGAACTCCAGCTCTGCCCAGCACCTTTGTGCAGAGGCCCCAGAACTGTGTTCTCGCTCTTGTGAAGCAGGACCAACAATTTTTAATACACACTCATTGACGTTCTATTCTAGTTCACTACTAACCTTGAATTTAATCAAGGCCGTTTTATGACATGCAAGATTATAATCTTTAAATCTTGTGCAAGGTCACAAAATAGGAGAAAACAATCCTTTTTATCGTGACAATATCACAACACAAAGAAATTAAGTTTTAGGAAAATATGAGCCTAAATTTTTGATTCACATAGATTTTTTTGAATTTTTATAATCTCTATTCCAATGTATGAAAAGTGTGCATATGACTCATGGTGAATTTGCATTATAAGAGGGGTAAAAGATTTTGCTCTTAGAAGTCCCCTCACTGAGTGGGAGACTATAACAAAGTGCCTGGGGAGGTGCTGGGTGCTGTTTGTACCCATAAATACTTCTTCGCTAGCAGCATCTGCGGGGGGTTCTTGCAATGATAAGCAAGACGCTCTCCTGGGCTCCAGGAGCCTACGGCAATGAAGAGGAACATAGGGGCAGCCAGGCAACTTCCAAACAGTATGGCGTTGCCAGCGAGCTTGCAGAAGCTGCCCGCTGTCTGAGCTAAAGATGCTTTAGGAAGTTCAGGATGACTCTTCTGCCAGCCCTTGGGATATTCTGAAGCACATTGTTATTACTCCAGAGTGATGAAACAAAAGCCCAGTAAAGCTATTTCAAGTTCTCAAGCTCAGGAGGCAGATAGCAGGGGAAGAATCTGAATTCAGGGAGTTTGAAACCAAACCCTGCGTTCTTTCTCCTCGCCCAAGCTCCTTCAGCTCATGGATTTCTTCCTCTTACAGTGTTTACAGCCCAACTCTGTAGTCAGGTGAGGAATTACAAGTACTTCATCTTTTAAGTTCGCTCTTGGTAAAAGCTAATCCCGGGGAAGACAGCTGTTACCCTCATGGATAGCAGCTCAGGGCCAAAGCCACAGCCGAGTCCTCCGTACCTCTGTGGCTGTTGCCCCCACGGGCAGAAAATGTCAGAAGCCATGACAGTGTTGAGCATGCTGAGTCCCCAAACATGTCTCCACAAGCACAGCAGGTTTATTCTGGAACCTGGGAAGCCTTCTCACGTTAGTGCTCTCCCTTTGCCCTAGGAAAGGGCAAATGCAAAGACTCAAACAACCAGCACCTGCACTTCTCATCTTGCACTTTATCAATAATTTTGTGGCATTCTTGTCTTAAACAGACACTGATTATTATCCATAAAGAAAATGAAGATAGTTATATATATTTGCATTTGGGCAGCTGCGTGGGCCATTCCGGTAAGTTCATCTTCCTAACCGAGTCTTCTCACTTTGCTCTATCTTTTAACCCAGCGTTGAAGTGTACATATTTCCTTAAGGTTTTGCAGAGAAGTTGAGTCTAAACACTTAGATTTGCATTAAAACTGTTATGTGATATCATTTGGGATCTCAATGCAAGGCAAACATGCGAACCAAATCATACTCCCTTTCTTCCCGTTGAAACATATCTTATCAGAGGATGACATACTTTTATAAGTTTATTCATATTAATTCAATGCCCAGAAGTTGTGGAGGCTCTGTCTGCCTCTCCTTCATTCCATGGGAATTTCATTTCAGTGTCAACACAGTTTATACTGTTTGGGAAAAACTGAAGCGAGAACAGGAGTTAAAGTTCCGATTTTTCAATGTGTGATCAAATCAGTGTTCCATGGGTACTATTTATTTGTTCATTGCAGAAAATCTGGAGCACATGAATATGTGCAAACACAGGAACATTAAGGAAGTCAGCCCACTTGTAATTGTATTAGCCAGCCTGCATGTCTAGCATTTTCTTATGGTTTCACATCACCAGATGTGGTGGTGTTTCTCTAGGTGAAAGCTTTTGCGAGCACTTCAAGGTCACTCTTGCAGGGCTTACGTAGCAATTACTTGATATTGCTTCCCCAGCAGCCCACACTCACTGTTGTTTTATGGTTTTGGTCTGACATTTAACTTGGGATGGGTCCTGTACAGGCCACTGCCAGGAGTGGTTTAACAGAACAAGGATTAGCCTTGTCTTTATACATGTGAGGTAAGTGGGCTTGTAATACTAACTGATGACGTTATAAAAATCCTCATTTTGCTCAGCTTGAAATTCCATATAGGCACCATAATGGGCTGCTTTTCTTCTCTACATGTCAGATTAGGCTCTGATCTTTGTGTTTTATCTTTCCTTCTTCATAAAACAAGAACCTGTGTAATATCGATGGTTTTACCTTAACAGGTTCCTCAAATCACACCATCAGAAAGACATACCATTGAAAAATCTGTGAATGCACCTTTTCTAGTACACTCAGGAACTCCAGCACAGGTAAAAAAAAATACTCCTTTCGTTTTCCACTTTCAAACCACTTCTACACTCTATGATCTTCTCTAAAATTTCCGCCTATTTTCTCTTTCAGTTGGCGTTATTTGAAAATGATACCCACAATGATTTTGAATTGTGTCTCTTTTTCAGAATGAGTTATATATCAATAACACCACTAAAGACAGCAGTGACCCCCCAAACAGGAGTGAAATAGGAAGACAAGTGTATACCAAGGACAGTTACGAAAGAGAAGGGAACGGCTCTGAGTCAATAGGTGTAGGAGGGACAAATCCTTCTACACAGCCCCTTTTAGCAAATGAACAGGGGAAGACTGATTACAAAAACAAGCACTTAGAAATATATGGTCACGATGAGATCCACGCAAAAGGAGAGAACAACACAGCAAATGACATCAGGGGCCAAGTAAGCATCACTGAAAATGCAGGAGCAGCGAAGGAGAGTAACGTAAATGGACCTGTCAATCAGAACACAAAACCTGGGGACACTGGTAATGCCAGCCAGAGTGCAGATGCCACCCTTGGCCAGGGAAATGGACCTCAAGTAGCTACGAGCAAGAATAGTACAGCTGGAATGCATGGGGATGGGGCTGCTACTCACGAAACGACATCTCAGAGAGAAGGGGAGGGAAGTGGGAACAGGAGGGTTGAGGTGACACCAAGCACTGCGAAAGATGCTGCTTTGGATAATGCTGATGGGAGTTCCAGTGGGGATGGGGAAAATGGGGATGAGGACATGGGCTCCGGTGATCATGAGGGTCCAGAAGCAGGAGACGGAAAGGGGGGCCACGATGATAGGAAGGGCCAGGAGGACCAGTCTCATCAGGGGAGAGATGATAACAGAGGTCAGAGTTCAGTCAGTGGTGAAGACAATGACTCTAAAGAAAGAGATGGCTCCCCAAATGGATGTGATGGAGACAACACCTCCAGCAGCGAAGAGAACAATGGTATTGAAGAAGGCAATGGCGGCCAAGCAATACAGGAAAACCAGAAGCTCAATCACAAAGACAACAGAGATACAGAAGGTGGAATCCCCTGCCAGTCAAAAGCATGTCCTCTGGGGAAGAGCCAGGGCCAGGTTAGTTTTGAAACTGATTCCTTTCCTTAGCAGTTCACATTCCCCTCTCCACACTCTGACAGCCGTGCAAAACAACAACAAACCTAGACAAGTACAAATCAAACCCAAAACTAACATAAAAAAGTGTCACACTAAGTGTCTGGGTAGTATTTTACCAACATTGTGGATTTTAATGAGAAAGCCGGAGTCCTTAACAGACTTAGTGTAGAACAATTTTTAAAACATGATTCAGTCATGTTTGTGTAATACATTTTAGTAGTGTCACATTCATTACACAAAATAAGGAGTTCCACTGTGACACTTTCATTTTTGTGCACCTGTTTAATCCAAGTGCCTGGACCCTGATACTCAGCACTTTCAAGTATGAGATAAGCACATTTGTACAAATCACCATTGCTGTGGCAGCCAAAGTCCTGGTCTGAAGGCCATTTCCCCAGACAGCTCTTCTCCGGCAATGGAACTTTACAGCAAATATTCACTGGTTATCTATTTGTCTCTATATTGTTCCATAGGGAATAGAAACCGAAGGTCCCAGCACAGGCAACAGAAGTAATATTACCAAAGAATCTGGGAAACTCGGTGAAAATAAAGACAACAATGGACACCAGGGAATGGAAACGGACAAAAGAAATAGCCCAAAGCAAGCGGAGCCTGGCAAGCCTCAAGGGCCTGTAGAGACGACAGAAGCCCACCGCAAAACCGGACACAGCAAGACAGGTAGTGGCAGCAACAGTGATGTGCACGACAGTTACGATTTTGACGATGAGTCCATGCAGGGAGATGATCCCAACAGCAGTGACGAGTCTAACGGAAGTGACGATGCTAACTCAGAAAGTGAAGATGAGAACGGCGGCCAAGGAGATGCCTCTTACAACTCTGATGAATCAAGCGACAATGGCAACGGCAGTGACTCAAATGGGGGAGATGATGACAGGAGTGATGACACATCTGATGCCAATGACAGTGACAGTGATGGTGATGATAGCAGCGAGAGTGATGACAAGGATGACTCAGAAAGCAGTGACCATGACAACACCAGTGACAGTGAGAGCAAATCAGGAAGCAGTGACAGCAGTGACAGCAGCAGTGACAGCAATGACAACAGTGACAGCAGCAGTGACAGCAGTGACAGCAGCAGTGACAGCAGCAGTGACAGCAATGACAGCAGTGACAGCAGCAGTGACAGCAATGACAGCAGTGACAGCAGCAGTGACAGCAGTGACAGCAGCAGTGACAGCAGCAGTGACAGCAATGACAGCAGTGACAGCAGCAGTGACAGCAGTTACAGCAGCAGTGACAGCAGTGACAGCAGTGACAGCAGCAGTGACAGCAGTGACAGCAGCAGTGACAGCAGTGACAGCAGTGACAGCAGCAGTGACAGCAGCAGTGACAGCAGTGACAGCAGCAGTGACAGCAGCAGTGACAGCAGCAGTGACAGCAGCAGTGACAGCAGCAGTGACAGCAGTGACAGCAGCAGTGACAGCAGTGACAGCAGCAGTGACAGCAGTGACAGCAGCAGTGACAGCAGTGACAGCAGTGACAGCAGCAGTGACAGCAGTGACAGCAGTGACAGCAGCAGTGAGAGCAGTGACAGCAGTGACAGCAGTGACAGCAGCAGTGACAGCAGTGACAGCAGTGACAGCAGCAGTGACAGCAGCAGTGACAGCGGTGACAGCAGTGACAGCAGCAGTGACAGCAGTGACAGCAGCAGTGACAGCAATGACAGCAGTGACAGCAGCAGTGACAGCAGCAGTGATAGCGGTGACAGCAGTGACAGCAGCAGTGACAGCAGTGACAGCAGTGACAGCAGCAGTGACAGCAAGGACAGTAGTGACAGTAGTGACAGCAGTGACAGCAGCGACAGTGACAGCAGTGACAGCAGTGACAGTGATGACAGCAGTGACAGCAGCAGTGACAGTAGTGACAGCAGCAGTGACAGTAGCAACAGCAGCAGTGACAGCAAGGACAGTAGCGACAGTAGTGACAGCAGTGACAGCAGCAGTGACAGCAGTGACAGTGATGACAGCAGTGACAGTAGTGACAGTGATGACAGCAGTGACAGTGATGACAGCAGTGACAGTGATGACAGCAGTGACAACAGTGACAGTGATGACAGCAGTGACAGCAGCGACAGTGATGACAGCAGTAGTGACAGTGGTGACAGCAAGGACAGCACATCTGAAAGCAGTGATGAGAATGATAGCAAGTCTGATAACAGCAACAATGCAAGTGACAGTGACAGTGACAGTGACAGTGAAGGCAGTGACAGTAATCATTCAACCAGTGATGATTAGGGCAAGGACAGACCATGAGATCCTTTGCATGAACGTTTGGTGAGGAATTGAAAGGCAGTAAAGACTCCTAACCCACTAGAGGCAGGCAAGGAACAAACAGATGACATGGAATCCACAGAGCTCACAGGGAATCAAGTCAAACTTGGATTTGGAGCCAAGTTCCAGCTCTCTCAGAGAGAAGCTGGGTGCACCAACTTTGGTATATGTGTGTTAGAATATGTTCATGTCCAGAAAATATTTTTAAAAGTATAAATCTAAACATAAAATAATTAAACAGAAACGGAAGTAATCACTTACTGTGATACATAGCTTCAATTTGAATAACTGGTGCTTTAGAGTAGAGTGAGCAGTTACAGAGAGCCTGCAGTGCTGCCTTCATCCTCCAGCGGTCTGAGTACCAGACAACTGGTCTTCATGCTGTGGAGTAAGCGATGCTGTTTTGTGACATTCAACTCAACTACTGTTTTCTTTGCCTGTTCTAGGAAAAATACATTTGTGACATGAGCAAAATACTGCAGCAACAATTGACCCTATCCAAGGCACTGGGATAATCTTTGTGATGATAAAAATAGAGTAGTTATGAATTATGAAAATTCTGAAGAATGAATCAGAAAAGAGTTCTGAGGATGGCTCACTCGGACAATGTCGTTGTATTTCTGCGAAGGATGGAAATGTAGTACATAGTCCCTTTGAGCAGTCCCTTCCAGCAGCTGCTCTCAGATCTTAAGTAAATGAGGAACACAAATGGGTGTTTTCTGGAGGTGAGATCATATATGAGTTCTCCGTGTGCCGCATTGTTATTTATTGTCTTCAATCAGTCTCACAGGACTGAGTATGAAAACCGAGTGACCTTTGGTGGGTTGTGCTAGGACACTTTTGAAAGTGAGAGAGGCGGTAAGAATGAATTACACCAAGATGGAAGGTGTAAATTGGTATTGTCCCAAGGGAACCTTAAGCCCTAAGCCTGAAGGGTATCTTTCAAGATTTGATGCCGTGCTTTGATGTTTCTCTCTTTTTTTTTCCCACATGAGCAGTTATGTCAGATTTGGGTTAAAGCAAAGCTACCAAGGACAGTAAGACACTAGTTGACTCTACTATCATTTTAGACAAACTTTACCCAGAGTTTCTGCTTTTTCCTGTACTCACTTTCTTTTACAAGAGTTTCTTAGCTAAGGAATGTTGTGAAGGCTTTGAGATGCTGCTATCTATAAACTCATTTGTAATTCCTAACACTGGAAGACACCAGGGTTCTGCTTTGTCACGGCCATGACAGAACGCCAGGCCTCTTACCAGACTTCTTACCTTCCAATAGACAGCAAACTTTGCTTTGTTTGCTCTGACTTGTGAACTGCTGCCTCTGGCACTTGTCACACCTATTCACAAAAGTTGTGATAACTAGGCAATGGATAGGAAACTCATTGTAAACTGTATAAGAAATGTAATGAAGAGACAATGAACTTCAGCATTATAATAAACATCTATTTATACAATTGCTCACAGGGGAAATTCTTCACTCTACTAAGCCTCCCTATTATAAAATATGATATATATTTACATTTCTTACACATATTAGATAGACATTCTTATTTAAAAATCAGCATTTGTGAACATAATATGCAAACTTTGACTATTACGAAATAGAATATACAATGCTAAATCTCCACCGTCCACCATTCTACTTATTTTCCCTAGAGACAATTCCTCTTACTAATGCTTTGCAGACATTCCAAAAATGTTGTCTGCACATAAAAATGACTATGTTCATCTTTTAAAATTCCGAGGTAGTCTACCATATAAAATGCACTGAGGTTACACTTCAACTTAGCAATATGCCTTGAACATTGGTTGACAGGATGTAGGTCAACTTGTTTCTCATAGTTCTGCTCACTTCATTGATGGATGTAAAAGGTATTTATCCTGTGCTCGTTATGTTATCTTCTAGGTAATAGCCTAAGTCAGTGTCTTAGTCAGTGTTCTATTGCTGTGAAGAGACACCATGACCAGGGAAACTCTTATAAAGGAAAACACTTAATTGGGGCTGGCTTACAGGTTCAGAGGTTCAGTCCATTGTCATCATGGTGGGGTTTGATGGTTCCAAGGCAGACATGGAGCTGGAGAAGTAGCTGAGAGTCAGACATCTGGATCCACAAGCAGCAGGAGAGACACTGGGCTTAGAATGAGCTTTTGGAACCTCAAAGCCCACCGGCAGTGACACACTTCCTCCAACAAGGCCACACCTCCTAATCCTTTTCAGTAGTGCCTCTCCCTGAAGACTAAGCCAATGGGAGCCACTCTGTTACAAACCAGCACAGGCAGATACTATGTAGCCAGATCTCAGAGCACTTCTTCCCTAAAGTGTTTTCATGAAGTTGGATATTTAGTACGCTGGCTCAAATCAGAACTCATGAAGGAAGATATGGTCTTGATTTTCTTATAGAAACACATCTGCATTTGGAATTTCAAGACAAGAATGTAGGAGACACAATTAAAACAACGGAAGATTTGATTCTCTGAATACCTTATTTTACTTTGTGCAGTAAAGATTAGTTGGCAATAGCCCAGTATTGTTCATGAGGGCAAAATCTTTTAGGCTTTCTTTTCTTTATTGATAATTGTGTGTGTGTGTGTGTGTGTGTGTGTGTGTGTGTGAGCATTCATGTGTGTGTAGGTATCCATAAGAGTGCATAAGACCTCCTGGAGCTGGCATGACAGGCAGTTGTAAGCTGCCTAATGTAGGTACTGGATCTGAACTTGGGACCTTTACAAGAGCAGTACACACTTTTAATTGCTGAGTTATCTCTCCAGCGTTCCAGAGCAGCATTTCCTAAGCCCCATGTTGCTAATAACAGTAACTCAGTATATCAATTTAATGAGTTACACAAATACTTGATAGATGAAAGATGGGCAGTGTGCTGTGAAACTTTCTGTACACACACATACAAATAAGTCTTTCTTACTGTTGGTTGCAGTTGGAAAGTAGAAAGCCATTAGTTTAGGAAGGCATTACCGTACTGATAATTTAATACTGACTTTCAACATTCCAAACCTCCAACTTTCTTGCCTCATTTTGAAGACAGCAATTTAAAAGAAAGCAGAAGAGGGCTGGGGATATAGCTGAGCTGGTGGAGGGTGTATCTGGAGGCTCCCATTTGATCCCTGGCACCGAAACCAACCTAAAACTGGACATATTGTCCCATTCTTGTGATCTCAGCATTCTGGAGGCAGAAGAATCACAAGTACAAGTTCATCCTTAGCTACATAGTGAGTTCCAGTGTAGTATAGCTAGCATAGCATTCTCAAGACCTAGAACAGAGAGATAGAGACAGAGAGAGAGAGAGAGAGACAGAGACAGAGAGAGACAGAGAGAGAGAGAGAGAGAGAGACAGAATGGAAAAGGGAAAAGAAAGAGACAGAGACAGATATGTTCCCTGGGCTTACTTATATCGTGCAGGAAATGTCAAAGTTATTGTTGCCATTCCTGGTCTCCTAGCTGCTGGGGCATGGTTAGGAACCCAAGTTGTCTTCTTGGCTGCACACCAGGTTGCTCCCTGTGTGACTAAAGACAAAATCGTGAAACAGGCTCTCTCAGCTTTTCTCTCCTACCTGACCTGGTAATTCTTTACACACCTGATCAGAACACCAGTTAGGAAACAGCCAGAGAGGCTTTTACTTCAAAACCTAGCTCTCACACAACATGCCAGCATTTAGGAAGCCATATGTCACCATATAAATACATTTAAACTATTAACCACAGGGCAATTTCCCAGAAGCCAACCCTGCTTTATGGTTTGTCATGGAAGTTTTGAGAAGCCATCGACCGAAATAACCAGGGCCAGTTTTCCTCTCCCTATAAGGAGAGGGAATGAAGTAGAGCTGAAAGTCATGGATGGAAATGCCACTGTGTCCTCACAGGGATCTGTTCTCTGTTGTTCGGGAGCAATCTTCAGGGGAATGAGACAAACCGGCTACATAATGTTCCCACCCTCCACCCTCCAGCAGGGTTCTAAGCTTCTCATGCCAACAGCAGGCAGGGAGAGGAGATGAAAGAGTGTCTACACATTCACAAACCCCAGACTGCTGGTCCAAAGTCTAAAAGTCTTCCTTTGAATGTTTTGCATGAGTTCACACTGTTCCTGCTCTGGAGGGAAAGTCTGGGTGGACAGCCAGCCCTCCCATGGGAGCCTCCGCTCATTTCCAGGCACATTATTTTGGGCTTTGCCACTGGCTCTACCCCTCCTTTCTTTGCTGTTTCCTTCTGACCACCCTTAGCCCTTTGCCCTTCAAAGAGCTGAAGGCATTGGGGAGGATGCCTTTGACCTTCACAGAACTGAGTTTCCTGTGGGAGTCCCTGACTGCTTTGCTTCTGTCCCGCCCATTCCTAAGCTCTTGGGTTCTGGTCTCAACCAGATGGCTCCAGTCCCAAATTCCCTTTACTTTCCTCAGCTAAAACCACTGAGTCATTGTTGATGCCTACTAACTCTATCTCCATGTGGTGAGATCAGTCTGACCTACAGATGACAGATGCACTACAGGTGGACTTGACACACAAGCTGCAATCCTTTCCCGGGACTCTATTCTGTCAGCTCGCCTGGAGCAACTGAGTCGGCCAAGTCCTTGAAACACATCTCGCTCTTTCTATCTGGTCACACTGGTCACCTTTGTGCCTATTGATAAGAGATGCATTCCCGCAGCACTTGTCACTCAGAAAGGTGGCGGTCCAAAGGGGGCAGCTACAGAGATCACCAGTAAATAAACACTATATGTTTTCAGATGAAAAGTTTCCAAATACACTTGATAAAGGAATATTCCATCCCTGCTGTGTATTCCATGCTAACCACCAAGGGAGTTCGGACTAGTTTTAAGAACTGATATTTTAGCAATGTCACTTTGTTTTTGTTTTTCTTTTTTCTTTTTTTTTTTGGCTCTAAAATTGACCTGAGCTGACCCATCTGCATCTCACGTCTGGCACCTGCCTCGTGGGAACGGTTTCCTCTGAGGCT